TGTCTTACGTGTAGTTTGAACACCTACAGGCGACGTATAGCAAGAAGGGACAAAGGAGGATGGTGAGGTGCCTCACTTTGTATTGTGGTGAGGTGCCTCACGTTGTGTTGTGATGAGGTGCCTCACGTTGTGTTGTGATGAGGTGCCTCACGTTGTGTTATGATGAGGTGCCAATGACAGCAGCTGGCACACACACACACTGGTGCCATGTGTATGACAAACGAGTAAGGAGAACATTATTCCCGAAATATTACTAATGATGAATTTTATGAAAATATTCTCGTTAAAAATGTTAAAATTCTGCAGACTGTGGTAATCAATGCGCGCCTGGCGGTGGCATCGGCAGAGATTCATTGAGGAAGAAACAAATATTTATGAATGCTAAAATAAAATACTTTTTTTGTCAGTGCTATTTGTTTGTAAAGGTTTGGACATATTCATTCAGAGATATTGTGGACAATGATAATTTCTAGAACTAGTGAGGTTGACAAAGAGAACTGAGTTATAGCTGCTTTATTTGGAGACTTTATAATCGAGGTTGAAGGTAAGACGGAAGAAGTTAGTTTAGAAGTATATATAACATTAATAAAGTGTTTACAAACTATTTTGGCAGTAAAAAAAGCAGGATTGTATTTAGATCGATGAACTGCTTAGTAGACGGAGCTAAAATGAAATCTCCTGTGAAAAAGACACCGGTGAATTGATTATAATGTCAGAGATTAACATAAGAAGCTTTAGCGTCTTATCGGATGACGACTGAAGCTGCCTCACTCCCAGGGGTAAACCTACCAGCAGGACGCTGCCTCACTCCGAGGTAAACCTACCAGCCAGCACGCTGCCCTACGTTGGTTTACCAAAAATTGACAGGTACCCCTTCAAGAACGCGTACATCTGCGCCCAGAGACGGTGCAGGAGCTTGGACAATGTTTGCAGCATTAATATTGAAAAGGAGATTTGCAGAGGACTCTTGAAGCAGCTTTCAATTTGGGGTCGAGACATTTGCCTGGATCAAGTGCTTACCATCGAGGGAAAGAGGAATTATGGAGATTTTGCGCCTTTGAGGTACAGAGTAGCAATGGAAGGGGACGAGGGAGAGCAGAGGATTGTAACACGGGGAAAAGGTGCATGTCAAAGTACTTAGCTAGAAGCAATAACATTTAATGGGTCGTTAAATGGCGTTAAAGACATTTTGTTAAATATATACATGGTTTTATTACCACTGGGGTTGGATATGGGTTTATGTCTCTACTCTTAGTTGTTTGGGATTTATTACTAAAGTTTATTTGAATAAAATTAAACAAAAATCATGATTTTTTTTAAGTTAATTTTATTAGAAAATGAGACAAGAGAAGTAAAAATGCAAAATGGGTGAGGTGGGGAAATTATTTAATACAACACTGTGATGGGTCTTGTAAAGTTCACAATCGACCTGATTATGAATGCCACGACTGTGTCCATAATGGGTGTTGTTTTAATGAGTTTTGTTCTATCTGGCTTGGCTGATATATCTATTAACCCCATGTTATATTTTACTCCATTTGCTTACAAAAAAAAGGTAGAAGAAAACATTAATGCAATGAGTCTTTTTATTTGGAGATCTGTACACAGGGACAATGATGTATGAGCCCCACGACTAGATAAATGAAAAAAAAAGACGAAATTGTGACAATAATGTTCATATAAATATCTAAAGAGCAATCATAAACTACATAAATCACAGTGGCTTCGTAACAAACACGGTTTACAATAACCAACACACAAAGATTTACACTCTAGGTGGTCACTTGGCCTGGCTGGGTCCTGCAGGTACTCTCGCCTCACCCATCTCTATACACTCTTTTTTTTTTTCCTCCATAAACATGGAAAAGTGTGCTTGGCACTCTGGGCCAAATGTGCTTATGCGACTAAGCCTCCTGTTTGGCTAATCATTATTTACACAGCAGTTTGAAGAACTTAATATATTTATGAAGATGTGCTATGGTTGCTTTAGAGTGCACGTGAGTGAATAAGGCGCCGCTAGTAGTGAAGACTGCAGACAGGCAACTGTAATATGGTGACTTACGGTTGTCTCGGCAGTCCTTTTGAAAGGCCTCGAGTAGAGAATTATTGGTAAATCTCTTTGTAATTAGCCAGGGTTGTATATAAGCCGGTGAGTCAAGGGAGGGCGTAACCAGGAGAAGTGAACCTGTTTAATCTACCAGAGGACATGGATGGCCACACTTGAGAACACCAGCCATGCCCAGGGTCGTGTCTCCCAGGAAAGCATCTAGGACGTGCATCAACACTTCAGTCACCCGTTACAAAGTCTCAAACACTCGATTTCTTCGAGGGGGGTTCAGTCCTTCTCTCCCACATAATGAAGTCATACACAGGATGACAAGCTCAGCAAGTGTTGGAACTGTTCTGTGGTCCCGCAGTGTCAAATGTTGCACAGATGGTGGTGTGAGGTGGCAACGCCTTACTGGTCTCTGTTGAGACGCGACCCAAGAGTACAAAAAAAGAAACCATTGTCTCGTTAAAACAAGTGTGGCTGCCTTAAAGCTATAAAACACAGTAACAGTACAGTAACATGGACGGGGTGATCCACACCTTTCTACGGCCGCCGTTCTTCAAGGTGATCTCCGAGCGTTGGCGCCCCGCGCCCCGAGCACTCACACTCACACAGTCCAACCTCTTAAGTCCAACCAATTGTCTCTCCTTCCGGCGTAGTGGATCTCTTAACCTCTAAAACGTAAATGTGCAGACTTACACAATAATGATTATCGTACAGCATTACGTAGGTGCTAAAGCAGGATGATATGCCGTTCCTGTTTAAAGAAGACAAAGTGCACAATGTCCAGATGCCACTCACGTAGGCCTAACCAAAGACACCAACTTTTGTTGTAGGGGAAGGGGGGGAGGGGGGAGTAATTCTATTTAAAAAAAAAATTAATGGTGTGCTTGAAATGTTCTGATGCCTTTGTTTAGTTCTTGTGTCTGGGCCTTGTGGGGTCAGCGAGGGAGGAGTGGGCACCACTGATAGGTGCAGAGGGTGGGGGGTGAGTGTGGGCATACTGAAGGGGGTCGGGCATACTCATGAGGGGTCGGGCATACAGGTTGAGGACAGGGAACCACTTTTAGCAGGAAGAGGGGCATACGGAAGGGACAGGATGACGGACACTAATGGGAAGAAGAGCATGTGCAAAAAATGAATAAGGAAACGGACACAGCTGTGAGAGTATACATGAGAGAAGGAAACATAGACCACACACGATGGAGCATTGTCCAAGACAGGGGTGGGGGTGGGGGGGATGGGGGTATACGGCGGGACGTGAGCATTATTGAACACGAGACACTGAGAAGTTCTGCTCAGCAAGGTATTGAGCACAGTCGGGGTCGGCGCTCACCTCGGGCCCACACGAGGGGGTGTGTGTGTGTGTCGAGGTGCCGCAATAAACCAAATTAAGAAGCTCAAAAGTGTCAGAGGAACTTGGTCACTATGGTTGATGAAAGTAGTGACTCCCACCCATAGTATATCTGTCCCCCTCTTGATGGCGAGAGCGGCATTTTGACACGTTAGAGCTGCTCTTGCCTCTCAGAGATGTGGCTCTACACAGTTACTTGCAATAGAGCTTTGCTGAAGCACGTCAGTTTGCTGCATCAGATTAGCAAATTCCACTTAGTCACGATTATTTTCCCCTCTTTTATTTTTTAGTAACTTCACTTACATGTTCTATCATCACGTCGCTTAGTGCTCGAGAGGCTTGTGGGAACTGTGGTTAGGTTACACGTGCGCCACGTGGCTCCTAACAAGACTAGCCTCTCTTACCCTGCTAGTAGCCTCCCTCACCCTACTAGTAGCCTCTCTTACCCTGCTTCCCTGCTAGTAGCCTCCCTCACCCTGCTAGTAGCCTCTCTTACCCTGCTAGTAGCCTCCCTCACCCTGCTAGTAGCCTCCCTTATCCTGCTTCCCTGCTAGTAGCCTCCCTCATCCTGCTTCCCTGCTAGTAGCCTCCCTCACCCTGCTAGTAGCCTCCCTCACCCTGCTAGTAGCCTCCCTCACCCTGCTAGTAGCCTCCCTTACCCTGCTAGTAGCCTCTCTCACCCTGCTAGTAGCCTCTCTCACCCTGCTAGTAGCCTCTCTCACCCTGCTAGTAGCCTCCCTCACCCTGCTAGTAGCCTCCCTCACCCTGCTAGTAGCCTCCCTCACCCTGCTAGTAGCCTCCCTCACCCTGCTAGTAGCCTCCCTCACCCTGCTAGTAGCCTCTCTCACCCTGCTAGTAGCCTCCCTCACCCTGCTAGTAGCCTCCCTCACCCTGCTAGTAGCCTCCCTCACCCTGCTAGTAGCCTCCCTCACCCTGCTAGTAGCCTCCCTCACCCTGCTAGTAGCCTCCCTCACCCTGCTAGTAGCCTCCCTCACCCTGCTAGTAGCCTCCCTCACCCTGCTAGTAGCCTCCCTCACCCTGCTAGTAGCCTCCCTCACCCTGCTAGTAGCCTCCCTCACCCTGCTAGTAGCCTCCCTCACCCTGCTAGTAGCCTCTCTCACCCTGCTAGTAGCCTCTCTCACCCTGCTAGTAGCCTCTCTCACCCTGCTAGTAGCCTCCCTTATCCTGCTTCCTTAAGTAGGCATCCGGCAAACAGTTGAGACCGCTATGTACACAGGTAACCTTGTTAACGTCCCACCAGCGCTCATCCTCTCACTCATCATCTTGTAGAGGCTCTCACTCATCATCTTGTAGAGGCTCTCGCTCATCATCTTGTAGAGGCTCTCGCTCATCATCTTGTAGAGGCTCTCGCTCATCATCTTGTAGAGGCTCTCGCTCATCATCTTGTAGAGGCTCTCGCTCATCATCTTGTAGAGACTCTCGCTCATCATCTTGTAGAGGCTCTCGCTCATCATCTTGTAGAGGCTCTCGCTCATCATCTTGTAGAGGCTCTCGCTCATCATCTTGTAGAGGCTCTCACTCGACAGTGTTCACCTCCAAGCAATAATGTGAACATCTATTATTTAGCAAATTGATTCTGTCATTCACACACACACACACACACACACACACACACACACACACACACACACACACACACACACACACACACACACACACGCACACGCACACACGCACAGTTATTCAAACAGTCGTTTCGAATTCACTCCAAACACATGAACGTTGGTCATGACGAAGTGGTAGCTGGAACGTCTGTTAAAGTGAGAAAGCTACAGTGTCCAGGCGTATAGCTCCTGCAGGATCTGATTAAAAGTGTGCTATTGTTACTTGCTTCCTCATGCCTCGGTATCACAAGTACAAAAATAGACATGGCCTACATGAAATTTGGCACAAAACTTCTATGTACATCATATACAAAAAAAGGTGCAGCTATAAATACAGTATGTAATTATCGAGTAATATGTGCAGATAGCTCCCAGCTGGACGACGAAGTGTACATCTTAATATCAATTACGAGAATGTTGCACGTGGCAGCGAGGAACAGACCGTGGCTGAAAGGTGGGGGGGAGGGAGGGGGGGGACTACGAACTCAAGGGCATCGAACACCACTGCCCTCAAAAACAAAAAAGAAATGGATACTCGGCATCACTGCCCTCCCTGCAAGGAGGTGTGCAATACCTCTGTCCACCCAACCCTTGAATCATTGCAACACGGCTGCCTGTCAAGGCTGAGTTACAACATCTGTGCCTTCGTGACAGATAGGACAAGCAACGGCTCTGCTGTCAACAGTGAAGACATAACTTCCCCACTGCTCTCTCATTAGAGAACATGCAGCACCTTTGCCCTATCAACACTCCAGGCGTACAACACCACCCATTGCCCTGTCAACACCGAGTGCATGCATGACAAGTGCCCCGGCCAACACTTGAGGGCATGCAACACCACTGTCTTCCCAACACTTAAAATCACACAACACCACTGGCCCGGCCAACACTGAGAAGCTAGTACAGATATACAAACACTCCACAGCTAATATATTATGGAATAAAAAAAGATGGATCTGATAACATGAAGCCTATTGATAAGTGGTGTGCTTCGCGCTGCTTGCAAATGAAGCACAACAGATTCTGAGCATTACAAGTGCAGCGGTCAGGCTGGGATAGACACGATCTCTTTAAGAGTCAAACATCACCTGTGGAGGATCGACTTGAGAATGGTCCAGGACGGACCGAAACGTCGTCGTCCCTTCACCTTCTAGTGTGTGGTCTGGTCATCAAAATCACCTGTGGCTTTCACTCTACTTCACTAATATCGTTTTTAACATTGGCAATATATAACAAAACCTCCTTATGTCTTTCAACAGTGATTTGGAGATATATCGTCAAAAGAATCAGCAGCGAGCCATTTTACTGAGGGGTATCTAACGTGATCAGACCACTCCGTATTTTCCATAAATGATAATCTAAGGAAATCTAATTTATGACACCTTCAGAATAACAGGAATAGTTACGTTTATCACTGTTGACACTGACCTAGCTCACTTAAAATTCATTGAGATAATTTGAAAAAAATATATGAATTCTTAAGCAGTTTTTCTTGTTTCCCCATAATACGTAAGATGCAGTGAGACCTTGACTCACAACCCAGCGGAGTTGTGAGCGTCTTCAGTACACAAGAATATCACACTAAGACACAAAAGAACCTTATGGTCTTTATCATAACCAACTGTACGAAGGAAATATGCCTGCTGCTATTTTCACAGTGCATGCTATTATTCTACTGATATGAAAGCAACAATTCATATGCGTGTAAGAATACTTCTTGTTCAACTGTCAGCACCAGAGTGAGGCTTTTGTTCCACGAGTTGCGCAATTCCCGGTTACTTTTTGTCTTTCAAGTTTCTGGAAAATCACTTTAGTTAGTGGAAGAAAAATATTCACCACTTTTAACTGTTTACAATTACACAGGAAAATGACACTGTTTGTGGTCGAGAAGGATGTGGCGCCAGCGTCGCCAGGTGGCAGCGGCGCCAGATAGTCTGTCTCAAGACTGTATGACGCCCTGGCCTCGTGGCCACTCCGATACCCTTCAGATTCTCTCCTACATGGAGAGGAGAATGTGTACACCACATTCTCACCTACACGCAGAGGAGAATGTGTACACGAGAATTCAAATTCAAATGTACAGGAGATGTGAGGTTAAGCCACGGAGCGTGTGGTCTGGCGAGACCCAGACCTCACACCTGCGTTACGTTCCTGCGTTTCCTCTCTGTTCCCATGGGAGTGGCCGCCACGCCGCCCAGCGTCAGGTGGGCGGAGAGGGTGGGCTTGGGAGGAGTGGGCGGGGGTACCTTCATGGGCCCCGACCGTCGCCCACCTTCCCACGAGACGGGCGTGGCTGTCATGGATGACGGTTGCTGTAGGAGGCTGTCGTTGGTGTTGGCATCCACCTTGTAAACTGAGAGCGACTCTGACGGTTGAGTGGATATCATGGATCCGCTGTCCATCGGCAGGTTGTCCTCGATGTAGTGCCCGTTGGGAGTGTGGTAGTAGAAGGGGTGAGGGGGAGCCGGGTGGACCGTGGGCATGTAGGGCACTCCCAGGTCTGGGTGATGCAGGTTCAGCTCCCCACCCTCGCCTCCCTCGGGAGACTCGTGCGGGTGACGCCGTTCGTGCTCGGCCAGGAGGGTGGAGGCCGGCCACGACTGTATGGGGCTCATGGATCTCTTTCCCGTCACTTCCGTCTCGCCTACCATTAACGCCTCCGGCGGCGGCGGCGGCTTCGTTATCGAGTCGGTCTCGCTGTCGGTGTCGCAGCCGGCGGGAGTGGTGGTTGCAACCGGCTCCAGCACCTCGATGGACTTTTTCTCCTGGTGCCGGCGCCGCCGCCGCGTCACAACAAGCAGGTAGTACACGGCCATGACCAATATGACGACGAGGATGCCACAAGCAGCCCCGACGATGGCCAGGATGTTGCGGGTGGAGAGTGACGTGGGTTGGGGAGTCGTGACCCCCATCTCACTTAGCTTTTCCCCCATTGCTCTAACTTGGGTGGACCCGCGGGTGTTGATCTCCGTAGTTGTGGGCGGGTGTGGCATGAAGACTTCGGCGGTGTTGGACCAGGGTCCTGGGACGCGCGTGCGGCTGACGGCGCGCATGGCCACGTAGTAGACGCCGTCGTGACGTCCCCATCTGACGGTGTGTGTAGAGGGGACACCCACGTTCTTGGGGGAGGTCCACTCGGAGGCCTTCTCGCCCGTGCCTTGGCCCGTGGCCACAGGGTCCCTGGAGAACACCACCTCGTACTGCATGGCTGAAGGGAGAGAAGCGTTGGTACATTAGCATTGTTTACTGTGCTAAGGAGTGACGAGTGTGTGAGGTGAACTAGATACATGATAGGGTAAACTCGTAGTGTATAGTTTACCTTGCTTTATAAGCATTCTATATTATACAAGTTTATGTAACATTCTCGTTAACTTGCTAGCAATATTTCACAAATTTCCCAAAACTATAAAACTATAAATTTTAAAATGTGCCACCAGGGTGTACTATAGCTAATACTGATTTTTTTGTGAGTTTTGTACTTTGAAATATAAAATGTATATGTATATACGTGTAATGTATATTTATATTATGTAATTAAATATTGTACAACATTGTGTATTGTATTTGTGTTATGTATATTTATATACATAATGTATATTTTGTATGTACTTTTACCTGAATAAACATTATTATTATTATTATTATTATTATTATTATTATTATTATTATTATTATTATTATTATTATTATTATTATTTCTGGTTCCCCATACGTGTGGAGGTGGAGCTACCGGGCGTGCACAGTACTGGGCTTGTGTACTGGTTTAAGCCCCCTCACAAAATCTTATTGAAGTTGTAAGCCTCCCTGTGAATTCAGTATGCCGTGTATCGCTGGGATCAATCTGCCTCGTGTGGAAGGTCGTTCTAGGGGCGGGCGGTGATAGGTCATATGGCATCCAGAATTCGTATTATTTGTTTTTCTTGGCGGCATGAAGGTGAGTGATATACTAAATATTACCCATCTTTATAATGTAAGTTAATACATGTATGCTTAGGGTAATACATACTCATTTGTACCACACAAGTATACATAACGTATTAGGATTTTTTTATAACTTTTAGGGTTGCAACTGGCGCAGACGCTTGACCATGTAGCTCAGTCGATTAAGGCAGCGTCTGGGATGCTCTCGGACGCAGGTTCGAATCCTCGTCACGGCCCTTGTGGATTTGTTCGACGCTTGAGCCATTGGTTAGTTGATAGTTGTGTTCATCAGTGGTGGTGTCACCGTGAATGTTTGGCAAATATAGGGACAGTCAATTGGGTTGTGTCCAACTGGATGGCTTGGTGCAGTGTTTGTTGTCGATCCGTGTCGAGTCCTGTGTAGATTGTAACCTCATGAAATATATATATATATTTACATTTCATGAGGTTACAATCTTACTGCATCAGATGTTATGCATGTTTTCATTTACGAATTTATAAATGCAATTTTCTATTATTCACTTCCACACAGCGCAGAAGATCAAAACACAATAGACGTAATTTGTAGATTTGAACACATATATGTGTGAACAGCAGCAGCAGCAGCAGCAGCCTCACTGATATAATCGAATTACTCCGATTATACAAAACTGTGCGTGTGTGTATTTTGCCAACAAATAAGTTAAGAAGTTCTCCAACAGTTGAGTACACTACGGCCGAGGGACATTAAGCTGGTGTTTGCAGAACTGTATTCTTGTTTATATTCTAGTGACTGGAAGCCCATTTGTGGACTGACAGGACTCTGTAGCACAGTGGGAGTCGTAATAACCCAAGGCTGTATGATGGTTCCTCAGGAAAGTCTCGGAGTTTATCTGTTGGACCACATTACAGTTCACTGTGTAATTTGGGTGTTTCTTGAGAGTCCTTGGGCGTGGGATCCGGTGGAAGAGTTGGTTTCCCTTGGAAATATTTCGTTGATACGGTGGGGGGGGGGGGAAGCCGCGATGTGGTACAGGTGGGGGTGTACCACATGCACACTGAGCCTGAGCGGCCGCATAGTACCAGCTGTACACAAACACAACTTAAAATTAAAATCCTTCAGCATAATAACGCCGGGCGAGACCCGCACGCTAAATGCCCAAACCAGCGGGGAACTGTCTAAAACAAATGGCCGAACTCTGAAGCCCTACAGCTCTAGTCTCACCTGTGCCGTGGTCGAAGCGGTCGCCGGGCGCTGTCCAGTAAAACTTGACCTGTTGGGCTCCTGCATTGACCTCTGCCCTGAGGTCAGCAATGCGGGAGGGCGGAATGTGATGCAGGGAGTGCTCGCCGCCCTCCAGGTCAAGCACGCCCACGGTAACGATGCGGTACAGGTTTCCGGTTGGGCGCCCCGTGGTGTAAGGCACCACCGACCCGCAGCACCGCGGCCAGACTGGAGGGGACGATAGTATTAGACTTAGGATTACATCAATTAGCGATATCCTATTTGAGGACTAAATATTATGAGCAATTCAGCAATGGTCAACTCTACCAGGTGGGCCACATACATGGTAGAGGCACAATAATGACAACTATAACATTAAACCTGGATGTAAAGCTTATTTCTATAATGGAAAGGTCATGGGCGTTATTTAGGAATACATTCAGACAACTTTGGCCTTAGGGGATTACCGGTGTAAAACCAAAGGAGCCCAGGCAGACATACCAGGGTTGTATGAGTGGGCGCGAGTATAGTGCGCCCCGAAGGTACCCACATGCCCTGCATAGGGCACGTGGCCGCTAGGGTAGAGGCGCGAGTGAGCGGCTTGGGAGGCGTGGGTAGTCCCGATGATCTGGGCTGCTCCGCTGTTGTCGGTGAGGGAGATTGTGAGGGTGTAGCGGGCGGCCGGAGCTTCCAGCGGGGGCAGATAGCGCGAGTACACTCCGTCGTGACGGGTCATGTCTGCATCTGGAGGGGCGGAGAGGAAGGAGGCTTAGCTGCAGCTTGTTGAGAGAGAGAGGGGGGGGAGGGGTGAGGGAGAGGGGGAGTGTCAGGTATGAGGGAGCCAGGTGGCATAACATGTAAAGAAGCTGGGGGAGGGGAAGTAATCAGGTTTGCAGGGGAAGGGGGGTGTCATGTGTTATAGGGAGGGGGAGTCAGTTGTGTGGGTGCTGGGAGGGTGTCAGATAATGAAAGATAAATATTTGAGAGAGAGAGAGAGAGGGGGGGGAGGAGGGGGGAGGGAGGGAGGGAAGTAGAAAGTGGGGTGGGGGAGGAGGGAAGTGAGGCACTGAGAGAGGAAGGAAACATACTAACACATCCTCCTCTTTCATAGCATTAAGATCAGGTATTTAGTAACGGTGACAGTCTCGATATTTTCAGAATATTTTATAATATTTGGAGAATGGAGCATTTCCGCGTGTAGAAACTGCCGTTATTGATTAATGACTAATTCTGAATTAGAAATGAGCTTAAATTGTAATCAGAATTTCAAATAAACATAAATATGCGAGCTGTCGCTTTTAAACATTCACCAGAGGGATTCTGGGAGAATTATTGGCTCATTTGCAAAATTAATGATATTTTCTCGTGTGGATAATCCAGGGTCTTCTGTCATCAATAATATTAACCATTAATCATGATCATTCTAATTGAGTTACAATTTAACTACTATTGTAAATCGAAAGAAAATTACTAATTTGATTAGGACGAGTACAGACTACAACGGGGACAGGTGAAGAATGGACGACTACAGACTACAACGGGGACAGGTGAAGAATGGACGACTACAGACTACAACGGGGACAGGTGGTGAATGGACGACTACAGACTACAACAAAAATTCGAGACTCACCTCCATTGCCATTGTCAAGCAGCAGAAAGGAGATTGGGGAGTAGCGGCTGCCCGTGCTATTGAGGCCTAGTCGCTGGAGCTGGGCCTCGACCCGCGCTGACACCACCGGCGATCCCCCACACCACACCTTCAGAAACAAGTGTTATTGTAGTCCCAACCATTGATATTACGACAAGCTCATTTGGTTATTGTAGTCCCAGCCATTGATATTACGACAAGCTCATTTGGTTATTGTAGTCCCAGCCATTGATATTACGACAAGCTCATTTGGTTATTGTAGTCCCAGCCATTGATATTACGACAAGCTCATTTGCGTGATGTGTGTGTACTGTGTTGTTCGGTTACCCTACTTTGCCACTCGGGTGGGGGATGTGAATACAGAAAGGTTGTTGTTTATTAAGATTCGCTACTTGGAACAAAATGTTCCAAGTAGCACGGGTTATGGTGAGCCCGTAGTGGACTTAACAGAACGGTATTTTGGATAAGAGCTGGAGGTCTTGTACAATAGGTGTGTTACCTATCAAATGAGTGGCGGCCCTTGTTTTGATGGGACGCATCACATCTCATCCACCTTGAAATTTTCCTGTCAGATGCTATATTTGTTTCGTGTTCGCTAAACGGAGTGTGTGTGTGTGTGTGTGTGTGTGTGTGTGTGTGTGTGTGTGTGTGTGTGTGTGTGTGTGTGTGTGTGTGTGTTTGCGCCCTGCAGTGTGTATGTATGTGTAAGTGTGGGTAAGTATGTGTATAGGTCATGGGACGAATCGTCCAATGACCTATAACTATCCCTTCCCCCCCCCCCCCCCAAGGTTTACCAACCTTACATTAAGCACCAGCCAATACGGAGGATACACGCCTGGATGTGCGTGTGTGTGTTGAGGTTTGACTTACTTCTTGAGTAGTCGTTTCTCGTTGTGCATAAAATGAATTTCGTGTGGAGCTACAGCTCCCGGCCCCCAAACCGACCAAAACATCAAACTGACGCTATTAACTACCGCGTGTGTAAGCACTGACGATGACTGAGCTTCTCTAATGATGGGCCAGTAATGCATCGTGTCCGCCTCTTTGTGAGAGTACAAGTACCACCTTTGTTGTGCTCACATTGGAGCAACTGGTCAACATTAGGTAATTACTCCAATTATCTCATCCTTAACTGCTAGTAATTGTCAACACCGGTTATGTTGTGAGTTGTGACCATGATTACGCGTTTTTTCCCACAGTAGCAGAGATACCGTAATATATATTCGCGTATTTGCATGTCATTGTTATTCGCGACAACCGTGTGAAGGTAGGCTTGTTGGGTCCCACCACAAGTTGAACTACAAGGAGCGAAAGAACACTGTTTCAGTGGCTAAGGAATTCTTGCATTGTCAATGCAAATTGAAAAACTGTTTTTAAAATCATCCATTTTTTGTAAGTAGCGGAACTCGTTAATCAAGAGAGATTAGTGAAGACATTGATCTTTATATGTCCTCCAATTAGTTATGTGTATGCCAAGGACGTGCATTTATCTACAGCTTTTTTGTTCAAAGATAGAATTGAGGTAGACCCGAAATGAAGCTAAGTGCATCATATAACGCCTGCACTACAGGTCATAAAAGCATCACGTCTAAGGTGGGTCAAACCTTTGTTTATCAGTGTAGAAATGCAGCCAATGAGAAGCCAGGAGCCTAAAATCGCTATAAGAGAAAACTTAAAACTCTGTAACATGATTCTCTAATGTGCCACGAAAACACCAAATGTAAAAAATTGTCTTCTGAACCCGTGGTCATAACGGGGTCAGGCCTGAGGCTGTCTACGCTCGGAAGATTAAACCGAGACATCGTTAGCAAAAGCATTCTCTGACTCGCGAGCGACCATACCTGGCGTCGGCATGGGAGCAGCTAGCAGACTTAGCCAAAAATTTACATCACCACAGTGTGTGTGGCTTATGAAATTACAACAAAAGTTATCACATTACCAGTATTTTACTCTGAGCTCGCAAGTGATAATGTCAGGAAGTTACATGCTTTTTCACCAACAAATTCAAGAGTTCTTGTAATCAACACCATAATCACTATAGCATATATTCTTAGTAATTGAATAAAGTGCTCGTGGAGTCGTAATTATTACAATTATCAGGTATCTCAAAATGAATAAAAATGTTCAGAACGCAGGAAGAAATTTTCCTAGTTAAGGAAGTGGGAAATAATTAAGCGTTAGCAGAGGGTGTGGGAACGAGCGAGAGCACTCTGGTAGATGAGGAAGTGCTGGGTGTGGTGTGGTGGTGGTGGTGGTGTGGTGGTGGTGGTGTGATGGTGGTGTGGTTGTGGTGGTGGGTGTGGTGTGGTGGGTGTATGGTGTGGTGGTGGATGTGGTGGTGGTGGTGTGATGGTGGTGTGGTTGTGGTGGTGGGTGTGGTGTGGTGTGGTGAGTGGTGTGGTGGTGGTGGTGGTGTGTGGTGGTGGTGTGGTGGTGGTGTGGTGGTGGGTGTGGTGGTGTGGTGGGTGTGGTGGTGGGTGGTGTGGTGGTGGTGGTGGTGGTGTGGTGGTGGTGTGGTGGTGGTGTGGTGTGGTGTGGTGAGGTGATGGTGTAGTGGTGGGTGTGGTGTGGTGTGGTGAGGTGATGGTGTAGTGGTGGGTGTGGTGTGGTGGTGGTGGTGGTGTGGTGGTGGTGGGTGTCGTGTGGTGTATGTAGTGTGGTGGTGGGTGTGGTGTGGTGAGGTGATGGTGTAGTGGTGGGTGTGGTGTGGTGAGGTGATGGTGTAGTGGTGGGTGTGGTGTGGTGGTGGTGGTGGGTGTGGTGTGGTGGTGGTGGTGGTGTTGTGGTGGTGGTGTTGTGGTGTGGTGGTGGTGTTGTGGTGGTGTTGTGGTGTGGTGGTGGTGGGTGTGGTGTGGTGTTGGGTGGTGTGGTGGTGGGTGTGATGATGGTTGTTGTGGTGGTGGGTGTGGTGAGGTGGGGTTGGGCGGAGCTGGGTGAGGAGGTTAAGTGGTTGGAAATCATACCGTCTGCCTGCCTGTTTTCCTGACTTCTGCAAGACCTTGTAACTTGTAGTCAAGCTAAGGTACTCATGCCCTTACGCCACGTTTACTCACTAATTTTACATATGTGTATGTGTGTATACGCATGTGTACAATATTTCTTCCGTCTAGTTCGCCTTAAAAAATTATTTACACACGTTTTCAGCACATATGATTTCTTAGCTTGATTGAGTCTCGCCATCTTCACGATGCTGAATTAAACGACTGACCATTATTAATTCTATCAATTTCTGTTCTAATTTTTGCACATGGTGACTTAGTTTCTTCTTTGGACTTAAATGTGGTATCTTTAATAGATTGTTTCCTTCGTTAATTTTTTTTATTTAAAACATAGGCGATTTAATTATTATATGGATAGATCATTTGGCATTCATTAAAAGGGATACTGAGATTGCCAGTGTCCTTAAAGTAAAGTAGAGGCGATGTGTTTAAGGTTCAAATGTCTCATCAGTACAATCGGAAATGTGGACTATTGGTAGAATTGCAATTTCGCCAAATAAAACTTAGCATGGCGGTAATGGGAGTTTGTGGTCTCAATTTGACTAGCCAACTCACTCTCACACACGCACGCACACGCACACGCACACACACTCACACTCAGGTGGAAACTTGAGTACCCAGATGAGCGATAAAAATATTAGAATTTTTTTTTTAGTGTCAGTAGAGTAGTTAACATTAGAAAGTGATGTGGTGGAGGTAAACTCCATACACAGTTTCAAATGTAGATATGATAGAGCCTATAATAAGCTCATAATTTTGTACACCTGTTGATTTACAGTCAAGACGTGGGACCAAAGAGCCGAAGCTCAACCCCCCGAAAGCATAACTAGGTGAGTACACACACACACACACACACACACACACACACACACACACACACACACACACACACACACACACACACACACACACATCTCCAGGACACAGCATCTGTCTGTGTATTAGAAATATATATGTAGTAAATATGATAGAAGAACCCATGCCATCTACCTTACCTAACGATACACAGAAAACGGATATTTGTAAACCGCTTCATTTAAAAGTACTTGGTTATTTGGTCCTACCTACCTGTGAGTTACCTGTGGCTGATCAACAGGACTATGAATATTAGCTTACGGTTACTCAGGTTGCAGGATGGTGATTGGATAAACCAGAGAGGTACAAACTCCCAATTGCAACCTTCATCACGAATCGAGGCCGATGCTAGGAAAATGGCATTATTACAATGCTTTAATATTTACTAATAATTCGCATTTGCAGTGGATTAGATAGCGTATAAGATGCGACTTATCTGGTGAGAGGACAGGTTGATCAATCGACCTGTGTTTTATGTATTTAGGATGGCTGGCGGACGGCCTTATTTACCCAGTCTGAACTGTGTACGCCTGGATGTGTCTCACCCCAGAGCAGGAATTGGATTTGTATTGAGAAATTATAGCCTTGTCTATGATAGACAAGGCTATAGACGTTATTGAGTAACGTCTTCGATATCGAGGCATCTAAGTACCGTACTGAATTCCCTAGTCCTCTCTCGTATTCATATATATTGTTATGTCCCTTCATTCTATCTTTTCTATCTCCCCTCTTTATATATATATCAGACATATAGTCTCTCCTGTATTCTCATATATCCCTCTTCTTAAATCTCTGTGATATATACCCATTAAGAAAATCGGGAGGAGCCATGAGGATTCGAACCTGCACACTGGGCACTCCCAAGCACATGCGTTATGATTTTTTTTTTAAATTTCAATGTACGGAAATTTCAGACTTCATGACAATCGAAGGAGGTTGCTATAGATGCAGATATTTCTTAGTGGCACTGGGGCCGACCTCCAACTGGCCCATGATATCCCTCTCCCCCACCATGTGTCATACTAGAAAGTTGAGTCCTTTGCCCTATTTAGTGCAGGTATATTCTATTGTATAGATACTGACTCACTTTTACTTTATCATATCTTTCTGCATATGATTTATCTCCATCATTGACGAGTCTCTTCCCTTCCCCCCATCTCTGGGGGCGCATCTCCACCCTCTCCTCCATCTCTGGGGGCGCCTCTCCCCCCCTCCCCCCCCCAACTCCATCGTTTGGGGAGGGGGGGGGGGGCAC